AAAGTTATCTCAGGGATCTATCAGGGATCTATCAGGGATCTATCAGGGATCTATCAGGGATCTATCAGTACTGAACCAAAGGGCAAATAACTCAAAAGCAGACTCAGGAGAAAGGTGAGTAGTATGTTAAAAACACTTTACTGAAGCAGGGTTCGGTGCACAGGTGATCAGTCAGGATAATGCAAAAGTACAAAATCACAAGGCTGAGGCAAAGTCCAAAAATCCAAAAACAGAGACTAAAACTGGGACAGTAAACAGAAATGCTGGAAACGCTAACCACAAGGAATATAGATGAACTGGCACAGACAAAGGGGAGCACACAGACCAAATACACAAGGGAGGTAAAGCCAATCAAGGCGGGGCAGTGACACACAGGCAGGAAGTGAAGACACTGAGACAACTGGAAAGTGCACAAATAATACAAGAAATGAGACGAAAACATGATTCATACAGGGGACCGGATGTAAAAGAATCCCATGCTTTGAAATATTGCTATCATATTTTTTTCACTTTGACTCGGCTCTAATCTTCTGTGCGCACTAGTCACTCTCCTCCAGTTTATCTTGCATGATTTTAAAATATTGTCGCTATTTTTGTGGACTTTATTTAGCATATTCTGTATGTTGTTTTCAGCCCAGATGTCAAGTAAACATCAGACTTCTGCTGTCAAGTCCAATTCAGTCCTTTCCAACTAACGTTGACGCCTTATTTACCTGTGTCCATCTCAACAAATGCCCGTGCAGGTACCCTGCGCTTTGGTTCATTTGGAAACGGTCCAAGGCCACCTCTCGCAAGCGGTCTTGGACCGGTTGCTATGCTCAGTACGATTACTGCGTTCACAAATGCCCATACAAACCGCACCAGGGGTTGAACTGCATCACAGTTAGATTAAAATGGACTAAATGTCGGCTTGTGAAAGCGCCCTGTAAGTGGCCTTAACTGAAGAAAATTCTCAAATGGGTTGTAAGAGAAATCACTGACCAATGTTTCTATTTTGTGGAGGCAAGTTAACCGGGAGTGGACTTGTTGGAGGCAAGTTAACTGGGACAGTGTCTCAATGTAATTACTCAATTCTCCTTTTCAAGACAAGTGAAACTGGAAATTCTGGGTTCTGTTCCAGAAGCAAATTTGTATTAATTAATGCAATTCTTAACCATAACCAGCTAGTTACTCTTGGAAAAAAAGTGTATTTATTTGTATTTCTATGCTTTGTGTTGAAGGGCTTTACAATCTATAGTACATAAGACCCCCTGTATTCTAGACTGAAATGAGGAAAGATGTCTTTGTGTCCTGTTCTCCGGGTGACAACTTGAACTAGTCATGTAGATCTTCTCATAGATCAACAGCCACTTTCCTTTTTTTGATGACAAAACTGGTATTGCATTCAAATTGGCATTAAAAAGATCTTAAAGTTGATGAAAATCGCAGGCATTATGTGTACACAAGATGTCCCTGACAGACCTCCAAAATGCCAGTCATGGCAGCAAGAAGACTTGTGACATAGCTGTCAAAGCCTCTTTTTTTTTTTTTTTTTTTTTTTTATATAAAACGAAGAGGAGTAAAGCGGAACAGGACACAAAATGGCTGCTGCAAAAATGGCTGCAGATGGGAGCTGTGTGGCACGGTGCAAAGTCTAAAGAAAAGGAGATGCGAGGGAGGAGTGGATGATGGGAAGAGGGAGAGCAGCCAGTCAGTGGATCAGTCACTCCAGGCCTGGCCTCTCGGCGGGGGGTTGTGCTCGGGGCGAGATCACAGGCCTGCTGCCACGCCGAAGCCTTCACAGGCACACAGCGACAGATAGGAAGCTGCTGGCACCAGGTCGCCTCACTGATTCACCCCAGCACTGCCTCGGCACAGCCATCTTCTCTGACTGAGCTGGACCTACATGTAGGTCTCCTGCTCTCCTCTTCTTGTGGCCTTAGCAGGTCTGATCTTGGTGTCCGACTGAGCAGGTTTTGGTCTTTTGTGTTTTTGTCTGGCAATTCAAAATTGGACATAAAAAATATTATTTTTGCACTATGATGATTCATTGTTAGTGCAGATAGTCAATTGAATATTCTGATTAAGTAAGCTAAGTAATGCTAAAGGTGTTCCAAACGTTCACCTCTAGCGCTGCAAAAACTCTCACTCTGATGTTGTTCTGTCTCTTGGAACACTTTCACACCTGTAGACAGGGATCTATAGTTAAACAGACTTCTCACAATCGAATCAAGAGGAGTAAACTAAACACAACTCGTTGCTTGGACAATTTTGGTGATTGCCGTGCTACATCATCAGGACACACGTGGGGGAATTTTGGCTTATGCAGCACTTTAGGAACAAATATGACGTCGATACGTGTGGATTTGTATAAATAGGTTATAAACATGGACTAAGGCTATACCGATCAATTATAAGATCACTTCCTGAACACATTATATAATCAGCAGAAGGATTTATAAGTAGTTAAGCTTTTGAATTCATGCTAAAAATCACATTTCTGCTATCATAAAATACTGGGGTTGGTTTGTTTTACAACACAGGTTAACTGCACCAGACCTCGCTTGGAAGCTCGCCGAGAACCACCTTTTCAAGCAGTCGTGGTTCAGTTGCTTGGCCTAAAACGGGGTTTGATTGAGAGCTTTCACACCAGTCCAAATGGACAGTACTAACCAAGTGCATTTTAATCAAACCAAACGGGTTAGGTGTGAAAGCATCCTCCGTCTAGAATTTCTACACTAAGTCTGAACATGCGGCCTATTTGCACAAAATGTCCAAAACAATTGTGTGGTTTCTTCTTAAATTTCGCAGTTAAAAATTAGCCTTAGACCAATAAAATCTGTGTCCGTTCAATAACATCGTAAGATTGAGTGCAAGGCTTCAGCATGACTTTGTCATTGTTTCTGAAGCCACCACATTTTATTTTGTGGTTTGAGGCTGCTTATTATTCTGGTATTTCTTAAACATTTCTTTACATTTAAAACCCTGTAACTGATAAGCAGAATAGACCTTTGACTTTCTAATCAGTCAGATTTGATGGACAATAGAGCTTGTATTCATTTAATCATTATGATAAAAAAGTTGCTTACATTCATGGATAAAAATCTATCTTGTACAACTGACCCCTGAGCATCACATTCCTCTTAAACACACAGGCACACACACTGCTACCCTCTTCCTCTTTTTTTCTCTTCCCATTCTTCTCCAGTCCCCCATCCTTTCTGCTGTGTCCCTGACTGTTGAAAGTCAGTCGGCTTCTATTAGTATCAGCCCCGCTCATCATTATCCATCAATTAGACTGGCAACTGTCAGGGCCCACAGAGAAACATCTGTACCCTCTCGGCTCCGTGCTCTGAGCTTGCTGTGCCTTGCAGAGCTCACTGTTTAGAGTGCTGGTCTAATTAAAGCAGTGGGACAATATCAAAGTTGAGGCTTGTAACATCTGGGTAAGTGTGTCAGGACCAGGGCTGGCTAGGTACCTCAGTACCTCATGAGTACTGAATGACGAAAACAGACAAGTACAGAAACTCAGCACTGAATGGTGGCCCTGACTGCTAAGCACGCCACAATTATAGAAAACACGACCAAAAACAGAAACACCATGTGAATACAGAAAAGACAACCAAATACAGAAATATACTGTGAATACAGAAAACACGACCAAATACAGAAACACCATGTGAATACAGAAAACACAACCAAATACAGAAACACCCTGTGAATACMGAAAACACAACCAAATACAGAAACACCCTGTGAATACAGAAAACGGGACCAAATACAGAAACACCCTGTGAATACAGAAAACACAACCAAATATAGAAACACCCTGTGAATACAGAAAACACAACCAAATATAGAAACACCCTGTGAATACAGAAAACGGGACCAAATACAGAAACACCCTGTGAATACAGAAAACACGACCAAATACAGAAACGCACTGTGAATACAGAAAACACGACCAAATACAGAAACGCACTGTGAATACAGAAAACACGACCAAATACAGAAACTCACTGTCAATACAGAAAATACAACCAAATACAGAAGAATGCTGCAAATAGACACTTGTTGTAGCCATGGTTCTTGGTTTGTGAAGTTATTGAAATCGGCTATTCCTCAGTGAAAATGAGCTGAAATGTAGCTGACATGTGAAAAAAGTGCAGATATAGTACTGCAATGTTTTGACTTGTGAAAGTGTCTGTTCACTTCTTGTACTGAAAACACAAACATTATTAAAGATTACTTATTACACAGCATTATACTACAGCACCATTCTTCTGTCTGAGTAAGGCCAGTCTTGTTTGGGACACTGTTGGACCCAACCCAGTTTCCTATGCTGTTACGAGATGTCGTGTACTCCAGCCCTCTTTTCCAGAATCACTGACCTTTCTGTCATTAAAACAGTCCAGAAACACACATTAAGAGACTGCAATACTCAAAGACAACACAGCTTGGAACATACTGCTAAACTGACACCTAAAACATTTGTATCATGAACTTTGACGAGTGCCAATGACAGAACATGCTGCTGTGCACCAAGAGCATCATAAGCCTTGTTTTTTATTGGGTTTCCCATTAATTGAGGCTTCATTGCCTGCTGGATCTTCAGGGGGTCCACGCTCCAGACTGAAATAAATCCTGAGCCTACAGCACTGTCTGATTTATCCTCACATGAGAAGAGTAGACACTGTTTCCAAACTTCCAGGCAAGACTGTGTGGGCGTCGTCTTCAGATTAGAGACATTGTTCTGCTGAGGATTTGTTTGTCAGCTTTGCCCCTCAGTGTAAACAAGGAAGCTCTGTCATAACGATACGCTGCATGGACAACATCACATGCTTTCTCTGTCATGAGCAAAGTCAACGGATTACAGAAACTAATGTCAAGGTGATGGATTTATTATGGTGACTGTTGAAATGTTGCTTTTTCATGTGTCTTCTTAGGTTGGCACATTTTGAGTGCATTTATTTCATGGAGTATCAGATGATGGTATGCACTGTGTTCTTGTGTGTCTACAGCAATGGTACACCAGCACTATGAACCTCCTAGGAACATGGCTGACAGATCGAATGGACTTGCAGCTCCACCTTTATCAGCTGAAGATTCTCATCAGGGTTGTGAAGGTGAGAACGGCTGCCTTTCACATTTCCAAACCACATATCTAAATACAAGCAAAATGTATTGTCACATATGATCTCAAGGCTTGTATAACTCTGGTAGATTATAACATCTCACTGCTGCTTCCCACTTGATTTAATATGTATTGCTGTTAAAATGGATATGCCTCCTCTATTCACAGTGTGCTGTTTTTGTCAGTCGCGCTTGTTTTACTCTTTTTAGTTGTTCTTTCTGGAAGTGAAATATTGTCCTTTTAACTCCACTACATTTATTTAACAGCAATAGCTCCTTTACAGATTGTATAAATATACAGTATATAAATATAAATACCATCATGTATTGATATAGATACCTAACAAAACTGGGTCCGCATGATTGGATCAGTAATACTTATCCAATATATTGTAATGAAGCACTGACGGGTTCACATTATTGTTCTTCTTCATCAAGGTCCTATACTAAAAGTAGGACATGGTCCCTCACTGACCGCCTATCCACCAACATGAGCACACTCAGACTGAACTGGTAGCGTGCAAAAATATCTTTTTTTTTTTGAGACAGAAATTGTACGGCCAGGATTCTTGTCTCAAATCATTTAATCATTAATTTTTCCAACCCAGGACCTTAGAGTCCACACAGCTAGCCACTGAGCCACTGTGCTGCCCACTTTACTCTCTGTCCTGTGATTGACTGTCATCACTGACATCAGAACTCTGCGGAAAGTAAAGATGACAACAAACAGCGATCATTCATCCCTCCTGTCCGAAACAGGAAGTCATTGCTGATTTATTTGTGTCACGTAACTTGCGTACTTTTGTAACGGTACTTCCGTAGTTATTTTAACGTTGATCTTTTCCTATCAACATAACTAAGTAGTTTTGTTGCCTAAACAAGGTTTTATCCTGTGAAGAAAGGAGTTTATTTTGGAAAGACCATATGCCTGAAAGGAGTGGAAATCAACATGTGTTGCTGGTAGGAAGACACAAAAAGTGACTCCTTTTTCGTGCAAGATATTATACGAACTATTGTATGAGGATAGGTTGACTCACAGTGCAGAGATCTGACGGCTCAAATGAAATGGAGACTAATACCCTTTTGAGACCAATACAGTGAACCTCAAACCCTCTAACTGTTTTGTTTGTTTGTGATAGAAAAAGTACCGTGACTTCCGCCTTCAAGGGGTTCTGGACTCTACGTTGAACAGTAAGATGTATGAGACGGTGAGAAACCGGCTGACGTTGGAAGAAGCCACAGCCTCAGTGAGGGAAGGAGGGATGCAAGGCATTTCCATGAGGGACAGTGATGAAGATGACGATAACTAGATCAAAGGGCCTGAGAGCTACAAGAATGTCGAAGCGGTACACTGCCTGAGAACCCATGCAGCCTTTCTGAGAGGTCAACACAGATTGGCCTAACATTCCACTTTATCCCTCCATTATCTGCTGTTTCACTTCTTCACTCCTGTTATTGCTCCACATTTCTGTCTGAATTGATACAAGAAGGATATGCATTGTGTGCCTGTTAACACTTTCAATACACAAGTGTGTCCTATCTATGCTATACAAATAGAGAATCCCCATGTAGACCCATCGCCCATCGCCCATCGCACACTAAAACATCAACAAATGAGTTTCTAGAACGGCCAAAACGTGACAGGAGTGCAAGCATGTGATTGTGTTAAATAAATGAAGATGTTAAAGACAGGCAGGAGATCACGTACATATGGAGATCTTTTCAAGGCATGAGAATCCATTGTGGGAGTTCGGGCGCTTTCCTGTTACACACACAAAGCACCCTCTTTGCTTATGAAATTTATGAATCGCTCAAATAATCCAGGAGATTCCAAGTCAAATTGTGACATTGATACAGATGTCTGAAGTCTGCCAACAAATGCATGATGAACATTTCCCTGTTGAAGTCATATTGTGATTGATCCAAATGGTACTAAAACCCATGGTTACAAACAGAGTTAAAACATTCATAAGATATTTCCAAAATGACCCCAGAATGTTCTCAAGCAATATGGCTGACTTGTTTGTCCTCAACTCAACTGAGCAAGGCTATATATGTCTTTGTGTTATGCTAAATGTGAAGTCACTGGTTGTAAAAGGTGTGAATATGCTCTCATGTTACTTCTTTTGGTAATGGGTTTGCATCATGTCTCAACCATAAAAGCTAAACAGAATGTTTAAAATGATGTGCTGTGACAGTCACGGTTTCTGTATCGGCCATGTTTCTCTAACAGTCACACACAGCAACTGTTGGACAGCAGATGAAATCCAATCGTCAACAATTTAGTCATTTTAGTGAAATAGTGACAAAAGTGAGAACATCATTCAGCCAATATTTACATCTCAAGGAAGCGTTATGTCATTTTAAGAAGTCCCATTCTTTGCCCTCCAACCTGGTGTCGTATGAGGAGATCGTAGGGATTGGTCATCTCTCAGCATTAACCTCTTTGAATTAGCCTAACACAGTCTGAATAGGTCTAGGTGTTAGCATGTGTGGAGCATAGTTTCACCCAGAAAGCTTTGTCAGTCTATCAGTAGTTCATCTCTCTGAACAGATGAATGCAGAATCTGTCGGCCACAGGACTAGATTTTGGTATTGGAAGCATTCTGATTTGCGTTTGCAGTCCAATAGTGTTGACCAATCACATTGGAGCAGGCTGTGGTTGAATGAAGGTAAACCGTGTGTGGAGAGCAAAAGAGGCAGAATGCATTGGCTGAAAAGCAATGTGCGAACCCATAGACTATTGTCTGATGATGGGTTAGCTTTCTATTGGTTGAATACTCGCCTGTAAATACTTGTGAAGCTATCTGGTTGTAGTCGTCTCTCGATTAGGGCCTCAAGTTTCTGTTAATGGGACTGTAAGCAAACGTAAGAGGAGATCTTGGCGCAGATATCGGCTGGCTGCACCAGAACCCTAACGTACTGAGCTGTCTTTGTTACTGCTCTTGATCTTCTGCTCTGATTTACATCACAGGGATTCTTCAAAAGTTGATATGCAGTATCGAGGTAGTGCAACAGCAGCTAACACTCTGACGGGATGCAACAGAGTCGGTCTGCCAGCCCTCCAACACCTGACACCCAAGACTCACCTAAATAGTTTTAGCTAAATACACTCAGTTGTCAGGCCATGAGTTCAGTAAGTAAAACGACAAGTCATCCTCTGGAGAGCAGAATTACCCGAAGCTAATATCACAGCAAATCTCTTTGATCAGTCCAAAGTGTGGGGCAGATGGATGACTGACTGACAGTTATGGTCATCCCTAGCAGAGCAAACCTGGTCTTTATTCAACAAAACACTAACGTAATTAAGCCGACTATGTCAATAACATCTGGTTAATTATCACACAAGTAAGAAATCGGTTTGAAACAATGAGCTACATGCTCATATTAACCTGTAGGTACATCAAGATGACTTGCATAATGTGTGAAACTGTGCACACTACATCAAGTGAAGGCATAGATTTATGAAAAAGTGAAAAATGGATAAAGTATGTATGGGAAATGATCTTTGGATTTTGAATCAACGAGGATACAATACCATCTAATGGCTTCAATAAGATCACTGATGGCCTCCGACTATACATATTACTCTACTACCACTTGTGTAAATGCCACTGGTTCTTCCATTAGAGAGTGAGGAAGCTGTATGGATCCTTGATAATGTGTTACTAACTGCCTACATATGAATCTATCGGTGGCAATGCAGGCTGCATCTTGTTGAATAAACTGTTTGTGGTCTCACTTCTGAAAATGTTAGTACTTTGATTTACACATCAATCTGAAACCTCTGACATTTCCATGTCTTTCTTTTCTTTAATAGATATAGATTAGCACAATAGCACTCTGACAGATCGTTTTCAACCTTTTTTTCACATTTCTATTTGAAGCAAATGCTCTATTTTAGTCAAATATCAGTTGAATAATAGTTTATTTTCCATCTGTTCTTATATGTGCCCTGCACTTCACTCCAGGATGTACGATGGGGCTGATTCACAATGGATGCTGGGAAGTGAAGTGTGCCGTGCTTTCCCTTCTATACTGTACACCTAGAGCTGTGCGTCGCCCTGTGTGTACTGCATGTCCCCAGTATTCACTCCCCGAAGTGTTTTTGCTCCATCTGTGATGTTACTGGTGGGTTCATCATGCTTCTGCCTTCTAGGAGAGCCCACCAAGGCCAAGAACATTTAAATAAAGGGGAATGGCAAACGTGGACAGACTGTGTCACCTAATTCATTGTTGTTGCAGGGAATTGATTGAAACTGATTTAATGTGAAATCAGCTGAAACCTTCCGGAACATTTGCTCAGAAACAGGTCTAAAGCCTTTGGTTTTGTTATAGAAAGATAATACATTTAGTTTCAACTATTGTCAGTTACTTGCACTATTTTGCACAACGAGCTAACCCCTGAGAGTGGACAAGGAGGTTGTGAAGGCAGACTGCAAGAAAAATACATATTTGATAATCCATGGCCTCCTTCCGTCCCCGACAGCAGCATTTCCTTAAGAAAGAGTCTGATGCTTTAATCCACAGCATTAATCTCTGTCATTTTAAGAGTTGATATTATCGCCGAGAAGGAGATTGAGAGAATTGCCAGAGATCAAATCAGCAATGACTGAAAAAATCAAATCAAGAGCCCAAGATGGAAGCTAAGACTAAAGTCGGGAGGATTAATAAAAGATATAATATAGTCCAAATTAAAAGGAGACAGGATATCTTTTTAATTATGTTATAGAAGGAGGGAAACAAATCCTTCTCAGAAGAATCGAGAAAAAAGAGATTTTAGACGAGAGTGGAGGACATAAGGTCAATCCAGCTGCTAGTGAAATTCTCCCTGGATGATAATATAGGCTTTATTCATATGTAGCTGTTTGTCAAAAAATTGCAGTATTAATATGCATTTATAAAGCATATATTAACATATTCCTTTACCATTAGTGCATATCAAAATCATATATATTAGTGCTGGGCAACGATTACAATTTTTAATCGAGATTAATTGTATTGTTATGCGCAAAACTAAAAAAATGAATTCAAAAGTAGTGTATTGCGCACTTTTATTTAAAAGTACTGCTATATGAACTAAAGGCCAATAACATTTGGTTTAAACACATCAGGTTGTTAACAGCAGTATTCCCTGTACACAGCAGCAGTTATAACACAGTTATAATTATTCTGATCATAGATATTCAGCCGGTGTTCATAACTTTATCTTCATGTGTGTAAGAGATGATATTTAAATATACTTCTTGAAAACTGCAAACCTATCTACATCATGTTTTTATGTTTGTTAAATTCTCAGTAGTGATAACTAAATGATGCTTACTATACATATTACAAACAAAACACTTTAAAAACTCTGAAACAATAATTTAAATTAATCATTTATTTTTTGCTGTTTTGGTCAGACACATGCAACGCTGATTACCGTAATGTATGGTATTTGTTATAAATGTACGTTGGTACATAGAGGGTGATATGAAGCTGTACATGGAGGGACTTAGGACCCAGGGGAATGTAGGTGAAGGAAACAGGAAGTGACGGAAGACACGCCACACAAACAGCTGTTCACCGCTCGCTGCCCGGTTCTTGTGTTAAAAATGTCCACTTAATAATAATAAAAAAAACTGCGTTAACGCGCGATAAAAAATATTTGTAGGCGTTAATTAATTAATGCGTCAACGCGATAACATGTTAACTTGCCCAGCACTAATATAAATGCATGAATAATGTACATCTAAATAAGTTCTTAATCATTTACTAACACTTTATAAATGATATTAATCATCTACAACTCCTTAATAATTGGTTTGTAATATATATAATACTTCATTTACAAATGGGGAATCCATCATTTATAAAGTATGAAAACGCAATAATGAAACACATAATAGACGAGCTTATTAATCAAGAATAAAACATTTATAACTGTTGTTATGAATTGCATACTAATGAATTATTAATGTAGGAACAATGCTTTATAAATGATGAATTAAGTGTTTACTCATACTTAACTAATGCTTCATAGTGTGTAGTTATTATAAAGTGCTACCAAAAAGAATGAACCCATCCTAAGCATGAGGAGGAGTGGCCTGGTGTGAAGCAACTCAAGGACTCAATGCTGACAGAAGGAGCCAGGAATCAAACCACCAACCTTGTGATTGCAGGATGACCCGCTCTAACCCCTTCTACATCTGACTCTTTGCTTTAACATCGGAGAGGAGAGGGATTTCAGACTTGTTTGAGGAGGGTTTGGCATGGAATGTCCAAAATGAATAATTGCATATGGCTGAAATTTAATTTCCCCTCCAGCCAGATACATGCATCCAGTGAAAATATGTTTGAAATTAAACTTAAATTCTAAGGTTGGTTCTTCCACACCTCACTGGTTATCATCAGTCTGACCCCTGTTCACCTTCATTCAGCACCATGTCTTTCATACCCACTCATTCATTTTCAGAAATAAATGCTGCCAAAATGTTTGGGGAGAGAAAAGCAGAATAGAAAAAATGAAGTGCCTTTAGAGTTAATGTGCCGGAGACCTCACATGCTGTCTCTACAGAGGCCATTCCCTCATATCCTATGGGATGAGAATAATCAACACAACGCTCAAAGCACGCCACCTATTTTAACATCCAATCTGCGGCGTCAGTGAGCTGCCTCTGAGTATCGTTCAGTTCATTTCCACATGAATATCCAGACATGATTGGGCAGTTCTGTGCGAGAGACGACACCAGGATGGATTAATGGGCCTGGATATTTATGCCGGCACGACCTGAGCTGCTTTGGCTTTTAAGCCCCAATCAAGAGGGGAAATGGGAAATGATAACTGTATCAAAATAAGAAGAATCTCCAACTGACCATCACAGTGACAACTGGCCCCGAGTCTCAGCGCTGACAGGCCGCCGCTGTACTATGGGGAGTCCTGCAGTGATACGGATGTGAGAACAAGCCATTCCGACACTTTGAGTCCATCAAGCCGTCTCCGACATGATACGTGTGGAAAATGACAAAAGGGAAATGAAAAGATGAAGAGAGAAATCAACCCATGTGTAGACATTCAAGCTGCCAAATGAATGGGTCTGTGATTTGTTGTAAAGAGGCATTTCATTTACAACGCTTGCTACTGTGTTCTTAAAGGTAACCAGCATCAGAACAGAGGAGGCCTGCAGGCCAGGAGACGCAGTTATATCTGCTGCTTTGTGTGCCAGAAGTGTCAGAATTGCCATTTGAGAGGGCAGGTAGATGTCAGATCCTTTTAATAAAAGCTGCCCCCAAAGCCTCTTATGTTTCCCTCCCCATACACCAAAACCTTCTTATCGTGGCCTTAAGAGGGGACAACAAGCCCGCTGATTAATTTTAGATCTTTTCCTTGAAAAAAAGTAGCTTACAGTTTAAAGCAATCTCACTCAGTGTTAGGCAAGACACGAGGGCAGATTGTGGTTTATATTACACAGGACTGGTTGTCCTGTTTCATGGCCGTATACAGTATAAGCCCATAGGGGGATCAACAATATCACAGCCTTAAAGTGGGACTGCTGAAGCCACTGTTATTATTAGATGGATGTCAAGAGGTACTCCCCCCCCCCATGCAAGCACACTTGATTGTGCACACCTCTTTCTTTTGAACAGATATTTTCTCCTTTTCAAATGCATTTTATTCCACAACTTAACATCCACTGCAAGCTCTTCCAGTTTGTCTTCAATGTTTGTTTTTTGTCATTGCATAATTCAGGTATTCATTTATGTAATAGGATTTAGGTTTGCACTTCTGTTAAGGGTACGCTGATAATTTCACTCTGAATTAGTTTTATTTATTACATTTCTGTGTCTTGATCATTTTAATGGCCCCACACACACACACACACACTTTATGTTCCTGGTCCAGTTTTGTGTCGTGACCCCATCGCATCATGAGTGTTTTCTTGGTTTCTTGTCATTTCTTCATAGTCTCGTGTTTTAATATGACATACTGTGTGATTGTCTGATGAGTTTCACCTGCTCTTCATCAGCCCTGCTGTCACCTGACCCTTGTTGTCGCCCTCCTTTTCTTGAATATTTATTAAGGCCCTGTCTACCTGTTTACAGACATATTTTTTGAACAGATATTTCCTCTACGTTTTAAGAGGAAAGTAACACACGACCTCGGTTTTACAAAAGATCTCACTCGACACTAGAACGCAAAAGCGACTCCAACGCTCGCCGGGCCAGTAGGTGGTGATAAAGGTTACGTCAACGATACGTCAAATACCAGAGAACAAGATAGTACAGTAATAGCTAATTATTCTTTATTTGACCAAAAACCTTTTTGTTGTGGACGAGAGGTCAACACGTAGAGGAATGATGTGTTTAGAGAAACACCTGTACACATGTAGACAGGGCCTTAGTCTTCTGTCACTTTGTCATCATTGCTTTAGGGTTCTGTTATAGTAATAATAATCCTAATCATAACAATACATTTTATTTATATAGCGCCTTAAAAGGTACTCAAAGACACTTTACATGGTAAAATCAGAAACAATAAAAGCAATTACGATACCAACAGAATAAATGACATAACAGTAAGGAACATACATAACTAAAGCGACCAGCTATGGAGCCAGCAGAGCTTTATGGTTTGTCATACTCCATCACATGTTTGCATGGGGATTGTAGGAGAGTTCCTAGTAGTACTGCTCTGAGGCTGGCACAGGGGAGCATGGTTTATGTGTGAGAAGCTCTTTACCTCGGTGCATCAAGACCTTTTCAAACACCCTGACTCCCAGCCTGCTATCGCTCAGCTCACCCTGTCTACTAGCTTCCAGCAGCTTGCCCTTCAGCTAACCTTCAGACTGCTAGCAGCCATACTCCACTCCGGTCTCGGGTTCCTGAGCGTGCAGCCTGCTGGCCCCCAGTCTACACACCTGCCTGCTTACATCCCTGTCTGCATTGAATGGCACAGCACTGCTAATCTACAAAAGTACAGGATGAATGCACCATATGGAGGTACAACAATACCTGTACAGAGAATAATGACACCTTTAGGACTCTGAAAAAGGCCTGGGCCGGTCCCTATAATGGATTTGAATAGATTTGAATGAACTTGAACAAGCATGTATTATCTGCATATTATCTGACACATACAATAATGCCCTGATCTTGTACCAGTTCTTTCTCTGCAGCCAGAGCCTTTGAACCCCTCCAGAATGAAGTTTTGTTCAAAAGCTCTGACTGCGGGCTTTATGCACTGATGTCCCTCATGACTGCCCAAGGACTCCTCAGTAAGGCTTGTCTTTACTTACTGACTGACTGTAGAGTCAGAGGCTGCACACACACACACACACACACACACACACACACACACACACACACAC